TTAAAAGTTGCTTTCATTATTTACTTCAAAACTTTATTCACTGAATTGTTTAAAAACTTTGAATATCTCGAAGACTATCATAATTTGTTAAATTTTATAGATTTGTTGAATATGGATTTTATGGAACGCTCGCAAATGATGTGGTGTATGCATTATCCTTTTACATGGTTTATGGTGAATGCAAATGAAACTTATTTGACTACTATGAATGAACTGGCAGTTAGTAAGATTGAGTTTAATAAAGGAGAACAAGTTAGCCATTATATACTTAATTTAATATCACTTGTGTTCGGCCCAAGAGATGATGTCTTAGATATAAAGTCTTTTGTAATGACACGGTGTACTATAGGAGAAATATATAACTTCGATGAAATTATGAAAGATGAAATGGATTTTCATTATCTTAATATAACTAATATGTCTGATTTTCTAAATGGACAATGTGCACAATGTAATGATTATAATAGTTCTCGAGTTTGGTGTTCAAAGTGTGATCCTGAATTACTTACGCAAGGATGGTCAAGTGGAAATATAGAAGTTGATAATTGTATAAAAAAATATCAACTTAAAACTTTATCATATAAAGATGCAATAGAATGGATTCCATTTGATAGACTTAACAACATACAAAAAATTGGTGAAGGAGGAAATGGTATTGTATATTCAGCAACCTGGTTATATGGTATACGAGTGGTTCGTGGATATTCTGATACAAAACCAAAATGTGTGAGACAGCGTAAACCATCATGTATGGTTGCACTCAAGACTTTGCATGGTTCGAGTATTTCAGAATGTTTAAAAGAGTTTGAAAATCTTATGAAATGTAGAATAGAGGGTATCGGACTTATGATTTATGGTTTGACTTATAATATGAAAACAAATGAATATTTAATAGTATATCAATTTGCTAATAAGGGAAACCTTCATGAATATTTAGTATCCAATTTTAGAGAATTTAAGTGGGAAAGTAAATTAGAACAACTTTTATATATATCATACGATTTATCTCAAATTCATGAAGCAGGGTTTACTCATGAAGATATCCATAGTGGAAATATTTTATTACATCTAGATAATAATCCTCTGAATAAATTGTATTCTTATATCGCAGATCTAGGATTATCTAGAAGAGAAAGTGAGCAAGGTTCTAAAAAAGTTCATGGCGTTTTACGATATATTGCTCCTGAAGTTTTAATAAGTGGTCAATATACACAAGCCGCTGATATTTATGGATTAGGTGCCATTATGTCAGAAATATCAACAGGAAAAAGACCTTTTTATGGTATTTCAGATGAAGACATTCCAATCATGACTTTGAATGGATCGTTACCAGAGTTTGCACCAGAAACGCCTGATTGTTATATTGAACTAGCTAAAAAATGCATGAATTCAGATCCACTAAAACGACCCAGTGCTAAAAATGTTTCTTTTGAACTTTTTCGTTTGCATAGAATAATATCAAAACCTTCAAAAACTATCGAAGAGTTTGATATAAAAAAGAAATTCTTGTATTCTGACGAAATAAATAAAAAATCAACAACAAATTTGGTAAACCATTCAAGCTTTATAGATACTAGTAAAATTATCAATACAGAAGGTATTATTTTAAAATATAGAATTTAAGATCGCTTTTTTTTATAGCAAAACTTTTTATAAGTCTTACATTTTTAAATTTTAATATTGGTTCATATAAAGATCATAACGTGTGATTTGGTATAATGAACTTGTTCAATATTTTCAACTATAAAGTGCTTGTTCTGATAGAGTTTATTGCGCATAAGTCTATACCTTATCTAATTCAACTAAAATTTCGAATTCACTTGAATTCCATATTTTTATAATGTACCAATATTAAACCTTGAAATTTAATGCTATTACGTAAGATTTAATTGGAAATTTTGTTATAAAAAGAATTAACTAAATATATACTGTATATTTAAATAATTTTTTTAAAAATATCGATTTAGAATTGTTTTTTTTGTAATACGCATAGCGGATTGATTGAGTTAACGGCCCCTAATGGTAAATATGTTTCTGTAGCATTTGGTCATAAGACTATATATCATACTAATATAAAAAAATTTTGAATTTGCAAATTAAAAATTTAGAATAATTTCTGAGTATGTATAAATGTTATAATTTCATTATTATTATTATTATTATTTATTTATTTATTTATTTATAAAAAGCTTTTTCTACAATAAATATTTAATAAAGTCTACAAAGAATTATTTAATAAAGGATTAATTAACAAAGGCCAATTTTTACATACTTTTATTAAATCATTTTCAGGTTTGCGTTTGGGCGAAAACATTTTAAATCTTTTTCTCTCAAAAATTCCAAAAACATATTAATAAAAAAATATAAAATTTTTGGAGTATGTGCGTCAAGTCCTTACAAACAACTTTACTTAGAGCGTCAATGCTATTTAGCTAAATAAAATACGCCTTATATGCACCCGAATAAATTAGTATCGCAGTATGCTTTGTAACACGTGACGCATGTTCTGTTAGAACGTCAACTTTAAGCTTATTTATATTAGGGTTAGGGTTCGGATCAGGGTTAGGGTTAAAGAGTGCTATAGGTAAAATTATCTCCCCGAAATTTTTTGTTAGTGCGCATAGGTTGTTTCTTATGAAATTTGTCGAGAAATAAGCGATTTCTTCTAATTTTCTTTAGAGCGAACGTTTGTTTTTAATTTTCCTAATCGTGTTACGTTACACCAAATTGGAATCGTTATTGGCTAATTTACTGCAGATCGTCACATGACCATAACTTTTTTCCATGGCTAGGCACTAACCTTTTATAATATGAATTTCCACACCCTAATACTAACCATAACAGTCAGGAAATATGTCACACCTAATAATATATAAGTGATATTTTATAATAAAAAAGATTATTTTCAACTTACATATTAACTTAATTTCAAATTTTAGAATTAAGCATCGAAAATAGTAGATTATAGTTATTTAAAACACTTTTTTAAAATTCATAAAAATTGTAAATTTTCTTAATAAAATTTTATAAAAAGAAAAATTTTTTAAATTTTGAAAATATAATTATATATAAAATTCTATGCTAAACAAGTTTGCTTACAAAATAAAAATAGGTTATCTTAGTAAAAAAATAAGTTTGTTTTGTACTAAAGTTAAAATTTTTAGTTTATCTATATACAACTTTTTTTTTTTTACTAAAATAACCTATTTTTGTCTTTTGAGAAAACTTATTTAGAGGATGCAAATCATTAACTCTTCCTGATGATCACTTGTACCAAATTTTCTCTGCACTTAACTCTTTATTTCTTAATATCTCTCTAAAAAATACTTTTAAATTTGTGTCTAAACTAAATCCTTACTACTTGCTTTACCTATGTATCATATTTCAAATCTCTAGGCCCAATATTCACAGAGATAGTTAGACTCATTTAAAATTTTCCTTTTGTTTAAAAATCTTAAATTTGTACTTAAAAACCTTTTTATTAAACTAGATAGCTAGATGTAGCTTCCTGTTAGCTCCATTTTGATATATAATTTAATATAGTTTAAACTTAAAACACTCAAGTTTTATATACAACAACTGCAAACACCCTTTAGCTTTAAAACATCTTTTATTACCTTGTTCTTTGCAAATTCTACATATACCCAAGCTCTAACATGCCCAAATTATACAAAACACTTGGCTTAGTAATTCAAAAAACACAAATTCTTTTTTAGTTTTATTTAAAATCAAGTTTAAGTATACAAATTAATTAATTACAAATTAATCCAAATTAAATTTTATTCTAAAATAGCTGTATAACATTCATCAAACTTAGCTCTTGAAAATCCCTAATACAATTAAATTTGTACTCAAACAAATTTTAAACTCAAGTTTAAACTTAATTCTCCAAACTTCTTATCCAAACCCCAGTTTAAACTCAAGTTCAAACTCAAGCTTATCCAGTAGCACTAATAGTTGCATATCCTTTTAACTATACTTCTCCTAAACTCAAGCTTAAACCTTAGTTCAAACTGCAGTTCTATCTTAGCAAGCTCAAACTCCAATTTCAAAACTTAGAAATATTTTTCAATTTTTATATTATTCTTATATATTTACTCAAATTTCTCTTTAAAAATACTAAACTACTTACTTTAAACTTTCTTCTTTTGCAAAAATACTTTTTCAAAATATCTTCTCTTATTAACCAAGAACTAGACTTTTATGACTTAGATTACTATTACAAAAACTATGTCAACTTGAACTGCTTTGGCATTACTATATCTAAAGCCAAACCAAACTTTCTATACATTCTTTCTTCTAATTTTATCCCAAACAATTGTGATTATGTTAAAAAATATTACTTCTTTAAAATGCCTACTCAACTTACTCTAGTTACTTGTTTCTGTGGCAAATATTACACTAATCTCACTTCAAGTCAATATAAAACTAATTATGCATTAACTTCTTTTAATCAAAGTACTACATCCAAACAACCAAAAATCACAACATCGATCTCCCATAAATGATTAAATAGTATTTGAGAAGAATTGCTCAAATCTCCAATCTTCAAACAACAACCTCCTCAACTTGATTTATCTGGACCAAGAATTCTTTTTCCAAATATTCATACAAGTACCACACCTACAGAAATTATCGCTTATTCTCACTATTATCATACCTGTCTTCTTTGCAGAATTAAAAGTATTCCTTGTATTTATCTTCAAGATGAAAACCATGCCCCTGACTATACACAAACTATCTTATTCAAAGGATACTTTATTTATCATACTTGTATTCCTAAACTTCAAGAAATCAAATTAGCACCAAAACTGTCAACTCAACTACTATCCAAAAAAACAAAAAATAGTTACAATTATCTTTAAACTTATTTTAATGCAAAAGAAAAAAAAATTAATCTTCTAAAATCCATCTTCTCTAAAAAAGAATCTAAAGAAACTTCTATTCTTTCCTCTAAAGAAAAAACAAAAAAAACTAAGAGATACATCCAATGATATCAACTGGTTTAGAAACTATCCTATTACCCCAGAAATGGAGCCTTACCAAGACTTTAACACACCACTTACCAAACAAATCTTTGACTTTATTAAAGTGCCTCTTTTAAACTATAGACCTGGTGAAATTATAAAAAAAGAAACCTTAAACAAACCAGCTTTTAGAGAAAATTTTTACTATTTGATCAAAAATATAGCAGCTTAACAACCAAAATTCGTCACCAATCTTATTTATCAATTAGTTTCAATATTAAACCCCAATATCTCAATATTATTTAATTTACTTTTTTTGACTTTAAAACAAATATTACAAAAATTCACAACTATTTTTTTTACAAACTTAACTATAAAAAAATATTTAATCTTCATAATTTTATCCCTCCAT